TTCCTTTCTAGAAATTATATATCTTTTTTAAAATTTTGTTTTAATTGGCATAAAATAATTATATATATTTATGGGAGGTGCATAGTGATCTTTTGATAAATATAATGTATAGTGATCAGATCAGGGTGATTAGTGTATCTATCATCTCCAACAGTTATAATGTCTTTGTGTTGGGAACATTCAATATCCTCTTTCTAGCATTTGAAGCTGTGTAATATAGTATTGTTAGCTGTAGTTATCCTATAGTGGCATAGAACAATAGAACTTACTCCTCCTATTAGCTGTAATTTTGTATCCTGTAACAAATCTTCTTATCATCCCCCCTTTCCCTTACTCTTTTTAGCCTCTAGTATCCTCTGTTCTGCTTTCAACTTGTATGAGATCCTTTTTTTAGCTTCTAAATATGATTGAGAATATGCGATGTTTAACTTTCTGTTCTTGGCTTATGTCACTTAACATAATGTCCTCTGGTTTCATTCATGTTGCTGTGAATGACAGGATATTATTCTTTTTTTTAATATATATTTTATTACAGGTTAGGTTCTGGGGTACATGGGCAGAACATCCAGGATTGTTACATAGGTATATACATGGCAATATGGTTTGCTGTTTCATCCCCCCGTCACCTATATCTGGCATTTATCTCCATGTTATCCCTCCCCAACCTCCCTACCCCTCATTGTCCCTCCCCTATTCCCCCCGCAACAGAACCCAGTGTGTGATGCTCCCCTCCCTGTGTCCCTGTGTTCTCATTGTTCAACACCTGCCTGTGAGTGAGAACATGCAGTGTTTGATTTTCTGTTCTGTGTCAGTTTGCTGAGAATTATGGTTTCCAGATTCATCCATGTCCCTAAAAAGGACACAAACTCATTGTTTTTAATGGCTGCATAGTATTCCATGGTGTATATGTGCCAATTTTCCTTGTCCAGTCTATTGCCAATGGGCATTTGGTTTGATTCCAGGTCTTTGCTATTGTAAACAGTGCCACTATAAATATACGTGTGCATGTGTCTTTACAACAGAATGATTTATAATACTTTGGGTATATACTCGGTAATGAGATTGCTGGGTCAAATGTAATTTCTATTTCTATGTCCTTGAGGAATTGCCACACTGATTTCCACAATGGTTGAACTAATTCACACTCCCACCAACAGTGTAAAAGTATTCCTATTTCTCCACATCCTCTCCAGCATCTGTTGTCTCCAGATTTTTAAATAATCACCATTCTAACTGGCATGAGATGGTATCTCAATGTGTTTTTGATTTGCATTTCTCTAATGACGAGTGATGATGAGCATTTTGTCCTATGTTTGTTGGCCTCATAAATGTCTTCTTTTGAAAAGTGTCTGTTCATGTCCTTTGCCCACTTTTGAATGGGTTTGTTTTTTTCTTGTAAATCTGTTTTAGTTCTTTGTAGATTCTGGATATTAGCTCTTTTTCAGATGGGTAGATTGCAAACATTTTTTCCCATTCTGTTGGTTGCTGGTTCATTCTAATGATTGTTTCTTTTGCTGTACAGAAGCTCTGGAGTTTAGTTAGATCCTATTTACCTATTTTGGCTTTTGTTGCCAATGTTTTTGGTGTTTTAGTCATGAAGTCCTTGCCTATGCCTATGTCCTAAATGGTTTTGCATAGGTTTTCTTCTAGGTTTTTTATGATGCTAGGTCTTATGTTTAAGTTTAATCCAACTGGAGTTAATTTTAGTGTAAGGTGTCAGAAAGGGGTCAAGTTTCTGCTTTCTGCACATGGCTAGCCAGTTTTACCAACGCCACTTATTAAACAGGGAATCCTTTTCCCATTGCTTGTTTTTGTCAGGTTTGTCAAAAGATCAGATGGTTGTAGATGTGTGGCATTGCCTCTGAGGCCTCTGTTCTGTTCCACTGGTCTGTATCTCTGTTTTGGTACCAGCACCGTGCTGCTTTGATTAATGTAGCCTTGTAGCATAGTTTGAAGTCAGGTAGCGTGATGCCTCCAGCTCTGTTCTTTTTGCTTAGAATTTTCTTGGCTATGTGGTCTCTCTTTTGGTTCCATATGAAATTTAAGGTGTTTTTTTCCAGTTCTGTGAAGAGGGTCATAGGTAGATTGATGGGGATAGTGTTGAATCTATAAATTACTTTGGGCAGTATGTCCATTTTCACAATATTGATTCTTCCTAACCATGAGCATGGAATGTTTTTCCATCTCTTTGTGTCCTCTCTTATTTCCTTGAGCAGTGGTTTGTAGTTCTCCTTGAAGAGGTCCTTTATGTTCTTTGTTAGTTGTATTCCTAGGTATTTGATTCTCTTTGTAGCAATTGTGAATGGCAATTCATTCTTGATTTGGCTCTCTTTAAATCTATTATTGGTGTATAGGAATGTTTGTGATTTCTGCACATTGATTTTGTATACTGAGACTTTGCTGAAATTGCTTATCAGTTTCAGGAGATTTTGGGCTGAGGCGATGGGGTCTTCCAAATATACAATCTGTCATCTGCAAATAGAGACAATTTGACTTCCTCCTTTCCTAACTGAGTACTCTATTTCTTTTTCTTCCCTGGTTGCTCTGGCTAGAATTTCCAATACTATATTGAATAGGAGTCGTGAGAGAGGGCACCCTTATCTAGTGCCATATTTCAAAGGGAATGCTTCCAGTTTTTGCCCATTCGGTATGATATTGGCTATGGGTTTGTTGTAAATAGCTTTTATTATTTTGAGATATGTTCTGTTGATACCTACTTTATTAAGAGTTTTTAGCATAAAGGGCTGTTGAATTTTGTCAAAGGCCTTCTCTGCATCTATTGAGATAATTGTGGTTTTTGTCATTGGTTCTGTTTATGTGATGGATTACGTTTATAGACTTGCATATGTTGAACCAGGCTTGCATCCCCAGGATGAAGCCTACTTGATCGTGATGGATAAGCTTTTTGATTGCTGTTGCAATCAGTTTGCCAGTGTTTTATTGAAGATTTTTGCAACTATGCTTATCATGGATATTGGCCTGAAGTTTTCTTTTCTTGTTGAGTCTCTGCTGGGTTTTGGTATCAGGATGATGTTGGTCTGATTTGGGAAGGATTCCTTCTTTTTGGATTGTTTGGAATAGTTTCAGAAGGAGTGGTACCAGCTCCTCTTTTTATGTCTGGTAGAATTCAGCTGTAAAGCCATCTGGACCTGGGCTTGTTTTGGTTGGTCGGCTATTAATTGCTGCTTCAACTTCGGCCCTTGTTATTGGTCTATTCAGGGTTTTGACTTCTTCCTGGTTTAGGTTTGGGTGGGTACAGTGTCCAGGATTTTATCCATTTCTTCCAGGCTTACTGGTTTGTGTGCATAGAGTTGTTTGTAGTAATCCCTGATGGTAGTTTGTATTTCTGCGGAATCAGTGGTGAGGATATCATTCTTTTTAAAGCTGAATAGTATTCCATCGTGTACTTATGCCGCATTTTCTTTATCCATTCATTTGTTTTTGGAACCCTAGATTGATTCCATATCTTGGGTATTTTGTGTAGTGTTCCATTAAACATGGGGCGCAAATGTCTCTTTGATGTACCAATTTCATTCTCTTCAGATAAATACCCAGGAGTGGGTTGCTGGATCAAACAGTAATTCTGTTGGTAGTCTTTTGAGGAGCCTCCATAGTATTCTTCATAGATGCTATCATAGTTTCCTTTCCACTGACAGTATATGAGTTGCCTTTTCCCTGCATCCTCCCCAGCATTTGTTATTTTTCATGGTTCTGATAACAGACATCCTGTGTGGGATGAGATGATACCTCATAGTGGTTTTGATTTACATTTCCCTGATGATTAGTGATGTTGAGCATTTGTTTTTTATAAAATTGTGGGACATTTGTAGTCTTTTAATTAGGAACTCAAACATCTCAACAGTTAAAAAAAATGATTTCAAACTGGCAAAAGACCTAATGTTAATACATACCTGTAAACATTATTTTTTATTCTGCTATTGTTTTAAGTAGGAGCTTAAACCTTCAACTACGTGAGGAATCATGAGACTCCCTAAACTTCACACAAGGTCATAGGACATACTTTTATAAGTACTGTTAAACATTATAAATGAATTTTAATCACAGAGTCAAGTACTTTGTTCATTTGGTTTTCAGAGTCCTACAATGACTTTAATAGCAGGAGCAATTTGTTGGTTTTATTTAGCAAGACATTGGGTAGATTTCCATTCTTCCCTCCACAGGCTGTGATAAAGATTTTTGACACTAACTGAGCTGCTTCAATTGGAAATTCACATTTTATGCAATAACAGACCATGTTAATTTCATGAAGCAAAGGATTGGCTTCTACTTGCAAATAGCACTAAAGAAAGCAATATTGTCGAAAGACATAGCCTGGTGTATCAAGAGATAGATCTGTTGAATTAAATACAAGCCTTTCATTCCTTTTATTCCACATTTCCATATAACGTAAGCATTAATTATACCCATCAGTGACTTCCTTCTTTCAGGAGAATGTTTTCTGTCTGACAAGAAATGTCACCTTAAAGAATGTGTGACACATGTAGCCTACCATTAAAAACACACTGACTTGAACCTAGAGAAAAGCTGATGCATACCCAGGGACAGGCTCACAGAAAGAGAACCCAAGAGACAATTACCATCTTTTCTTGCTTTTGGTGATGGGACTGTCTTTTGCCTTAATTGAGAGTTCTCAAGACTAGCATACATAGCTGTATTACATCTTGTGTCACCTGATGTTTACTTGATGCATTAACAATAAAAGACAGGAAAAAATGCCAAGGTATTTTGAAGTTTTTAATGCACCTTCACTTACATGATGAGGAACAGAGACTAAATATCAGGTTCCACTTAAGTCCACCAGGTGTTTGGAATATTAGATACACTGATGTGCTGTAGCCCAGATAGAGTTCATGGGGATGGCTGGAGAAGTAGATGGAACAAGTACCCTGCGATTTGAGCGAAATGCTAGGGAAGCGATATCTGCAACATCTGCCAAAAGGCCTTGGAATGCAATAGTGACATTTAACTTCTCATTGCAGGGGAACACTTAAGAATCTGTCCTCAGGAATATACATGCTGCACCACAGAAATGGAAGACAAGTTAAGCCAACAGAGCAAACTCGAGTTTGAAAACCTTGTAGAAGAGACGAGCCATTTTGTGCGCACCACTTTTGTGTCCAGGCATAAGAAATTTGACGGTAGGTGAAATGGTTTTCACTTCACTTTGTTATAGGTGCACTTTTCTATGACAATCTTGGTATCATACGAAAAATATTTTTATAAAGAGGGAGCTTTTCTGTCCCTGTTAAATATTTATAGCGTTGTCTATTTTTAGAAAAGGCATGAGTTTTCTTGGCAGTATTTTTTTTTAGTAATGTCTTGGTAAAACCTGGTTTAACAGAGCTGTTTTGCATTTGTGCTTTGTCTGTGAGATTTATTGTAAAGATTTAGCTCCAGTTTTCATTATTAGAGGAATTCTAATTCAGGATTTGGTATACTGCAGCTTGTCTAGTTTTCATAGGGGGATTCTCTTTTAAAAAGTAAGTGTAATTTAAGATTATTTGAAATATCACATTTTTAAGAGAAAAGGCTTATTTTAAATCTCAGTGACACAGATTCCTTTACTTTAGACTTTGCCATTGCAATCGTAGAGCACATTTTGCATTGCAGTTGCTCATTCTATATAAGGTTTGGACTCTCTTTTGATATTCTGATTATAAGCAGTCAATGTTATTTCTATATTCTGTTTGTTAAATACAGATTTTTACATTACAAAGTAATTATTACTTTGTAATATAAAGCATTGAATTTTCTCATTAGAGACTGAATATTTTGAAAATATTCCAAAGTAGTGTTATTTCTTATAAACAGCATCAATAATGATAACAATATATTTAGTATGTTTAGATGGTGTATTATCTTTAGTGCTCTGAGAAATGAATGTACCTTACTATGAGTTATTGTAAACCAGATCTGTACCTTGTGTTGAAATGTCTTTGGGTATCACTGGTCCTACAACATTAACCTAGGGCAAAGAGCTGCTATTCATTTTCTTCTCTCAGTTCAGTCAAGGTACAGCAGAGCCAGTTTAGAAAGGTTAGCCAAAGTTGTTATTTCTTTTTACTTTCCCGTGTGGTTGGTAAAACGTTCTACTTTATTGCTGTTTATAAACTATTAAAGCAACACCAATCTTTTTCAAATCGGTTCTCGAAGTTACAGAAGATAGGCGTACCTGGTATTTTCAGTAAAAATGATGTGACACTTTCTGTGTAAGTGACTGGGGCTTCATCTTTCTACAAGTATGTTTAACTTGATATGTGGACGTTTATGAAAATAATTTCTTATTTAGCAGTGATGCTGTGAATGTTGTTCTCCTAAATGCAACTGGGGAGTACTTAGGGGTTGCTCTTGATTATAGATTACAAATCCAGTGACATTCAGGAGTCCCTCACAGGACTCTGTGTTTGGAGGACAACATTCTCTCACTTCAAGGGAGAGCAAATTGAGCTGTTTTGTCGTTTGTTACATAAAGCAGGTGGTAAAGATCTGCTGCCACTGATTTTGACCTGCGTCTTTGGGAAAAAACAAACAAACAAACAAACAGCTCTAGTGCGTTTGTAAAGCTGTACTACAAAGTGATGTTAAAATAATTCCAGGGCAATTTTCGTAGTAAATAATATATACTCTTTTTTAAAAAAATAAATATTAGCTAGCTTTATGGGGAATTATTTTTTAAAAAACAAGCAAAGCCATTCAACAAGACTGAGCCTTATACTTCTTGTATTATATCAATAACTTAATATTTTGCATCTATAATTCCTAATCCCACATCTTGTTTGTCTCACTAAAGAAACCTTTCTCCATTCTGTCTCTTATTCCCTCTCCTTCTTTCTTTATATAGGTATATTTTGAATTGTTCTAATGTACCCAGGCGTATGATGTCAATCAGTTTGACAGGACATTGATTTTGCTAAGATTAGATTTACCTAAGGGGTGATAAATTCTTTAGAAACTACTTATTTTATTGCCGTTGCATTGCCTTGGATGGGAGATGAATTAAGATTTTGTTGTTGTTGAGGAGGCTTTCAGCCAGAGTGAAAAAAAGAGAATCTAAATGTGATCCTATAATCTCGATTCCTGAAGCACTTAGACTTAAAATAATAACATTATAAATCAATTAAAAAGTCACTGTCCTAATATCTGCTATTTTCTTTGGGCAGATTCATGAGGGTCAGTTGTACAATGGTATGATTTAATTTCTTATATCTTAAAGGTGAGCCTGCTAAGTCACCTTCCATGAATGGTTGTGCATTCATGTGGGTAGTTTTCCATTTTTAAATTTTCTTTTTTTCTAAATACTTTCTCATATCCCTTATTGATGAATATCAGTTGCTGTGAGCACAAAAGAACTATTTAGGTTCAGTTATGGAGTGTCACCCTCTGAATTTTATGTTCCCACATAAATCCAATAGTACTATGAAGGACTTTGAGTTTATTTTTAGTAACTTCCTATTTGGTTAGTCATTTAGCATCATTGTTGGAGTCTCTTCATCCATCTATTTGGATGTTTTGCCTCTGTTTCCACTTTCTCAGAATTTCCACTTTCTCTTAATTTGTCATTTGGATTGTGTATGTCTTTGTTGACTATATGCTCTTTATGAAAAACCACTGCTTAATTAAAATTAAGAAAGGTTGATGACTTTTCTTTCTGTTTTTATTAAGTACAGCAGAAATTTAAATTACACCTGATACATGTGATCTAGTCCAAGATATATTTAGGGAGGCTAAATTCAATCATTGATAATAATTAATCTCTGGTTATCATTTTTCTTATACGAGAAATGCTTTGATTACATTTAATTTTTTATTTTGTGGCAGCGGTGACTGTTATAAAATTTGAGATTCCAGTATTCTTAAATTAAAACCACATTCTATATATTGTCTTAGTTTCCTGTCTTTTTAAAATTGATTTTTTTGGTAACCTTTAGAAGAGACACTACAATTTTATAATTTATAAAATTAGAAATACTAATCGGATGGTAGGAAGTTAAAGTGGAATTAACATGAGTTATTTCCCAACCTTCCTAAGTTTCTATGCTTAGCTCCAAGATTAGCCTAGCATTTGCACCTGAGAGGCAATGAATTTTAAAAGTATATAATACAAATTCCAGAGCTTTTAATTCATTGGCGGAGAATTTTCTTATAGCTGTATATCTTTTTTAAATTTTTGAATACAGAATTAAAATGTCATTATTAAAGTCTATATAATGGAGGTTTCTTGACATTGCTTTTCCAAGGGTCTGACAAGGTATTTGTTGCTTTGCTTCTTTCTTATTTCTCCTGCCAAATCTCAATTTCTGGCTGTCATCACACATCCTTGTAAGCCTCCTGCCATATGATCAGGGTTCTGGCCACTGCAAAAGTTCTCTCCGAACTACACAAAGATGTTCTCAATATGCTCTGTAGCCAAGCACAGCTTTTCTGTTGCTCCTTGGGATTAAAATTTTGGACGAAGACACAACCTAGTCCACCAGACAGAAGGATCACATTACCCCCTTCCTTTTCACCTTCCTCTCCTCTGCCAAACACCCCAGGCAACAGATAAGCAAAAGCATATTAAAACATAGACAAAGGGAGAATCGTCTTCGTGTACTCACTCATTTTTAGCATTTTTATGTTTAGTGACTGGCCTGTTGAATTGGCATTTGTATCCAAGTCCCCTTTTGCTGTTGTGCTACCAAGTAGCTCATGTATTAAAGAAAATGGAGAACCAGCAAATATTCAGCTACATCTGACTGTGTTGCCTGCCCTTCATAGATTTTAACCCTAGATATTTGAAGTAAACTGCAATGCAATCACCCGGATGTTATAATAAATGGCAGAGTCAGGATTACATCCCAGGCTGAGCACTCCTGGATCCCTGCTCTCAGCCACCTACCACATTATCTCTCCAGTCCTTTCCAGTTCCCAGATGTGCTGGCATCTTGTGGTCAACACCACCTATTCCTCTATCTCACCCTGCTGGGCCTGGCCTGTCCCAGTTATTGTGGGGAGGATGTGGAAATGACTGTCAGGGAAAAGTGGAAGATTTGTTTTAAATTAAAAAAAAAAAACAAAGAACAAAAAAACAATACCCACGTAAATATAATCCAGCCCTCAAGGAATCTGGAGCTTTGAGAGAGTAATCGACTTGCCAAGTTTCCACTAAGAATGATGACTCCAGGACTGTAACCTAGTACTTATATCAGAATTAGAAATAGTCAGTTATATATAGGAAGTCGATACTTGATTGAAATTCTAAATTTTTATTTGTTTTGAATGGGTACTGTTGAAAAATTACTAAAATTTCTTTAAAAGGACAATAGAAATATTGGTGGGTGAAGAATGTACCCATATCTTTGGGAAGGGCAGGAACAGGATTAAATTGGAATCTGTCCCTAAATTAAAGGGGAATGGGTGCGTTTTGTAAAAACCTTTATCGAATCAATGAAGATACATTATTTTTTCTTTTTACCTCACAATGCCTTGTGGTGCCTATCTCGATGTGAGCCTTAACACCCTATCCTCTAAGAATGTCTGTGGAATATGGATTATTCAGGGGCAGGAAAATTTAGTTGAAGGGTTATTTTATTTAGGTTACTTTTTTCCTTTGGATTTATTTGAGCTGGAACAAATTCACATTTGGAGCTCCATATGAAGTTTCTTGTTTAGTGTGTTCTTCTTGGTCTCATTGTTTAACTTTCCTTCCTGGCTTTTATTAATGTATTTTATTGATATACATTTGTCCAGAAATTTTGGCAGCCAGTGCATTTTTAAAAGCAAAATAAAAATATTGAACAGTAATTTCCATCCTCATGAAGGACACAGAAGTAATTTATATACAGTGACATAGTATTTTTACACTGCAAATCTGCTTGTGTTTTCTTTTTAAATATCATTTCTCATCTATATACTGTAGAGATGACAATAATGTAATGACTTCCCTAATATATGGCCTAATTTTCTCAGAGAATACACTTATTTGAAAAGCAAAAAAACCCTAAATAGCTTCCCATATGGTGGTAGCATCTTTCATATTTTCTGTCACAAGGGTGATATTTTTTTTTGTATGCGTGTGTGATTTCTATTTGAAAACATTTATTTAGAGCCTACCATAGAGAAGACACTTAACCAAGTATTGTCATAGATTAAAAAGTGA